GGTGAGCAACCTTTTTGTGAGTGTGTGCCAAAACCACCAAAATCTCTGACTCAAAATTCTTCTACGTGCCAACCCTGTTTTGAGAACTTGTTACACCTACTTGGTATCTCTTAAGGTGTACGTATGTGAAGAACCTTGAAGAAATACATTCATTTGAGCGACAAAAACACAGTATATGATGAGAAGTTAATTTATTTTTTAATGTATACATGTACACTGATAGTCCGACAGAAAACTTAATGATTCCATTTGATATCATCAGTGGGGCTTTGCTGCTGTGTCACTGATGACAGAGATTTTACATCAGGTTTATATTTCGTGACCTTCAGAGATATGCACGAGGTACTACTTTCATCTGTCAGGCTACTCCTATTACGAGACTTAACAAAATTCATCACTGAGAACAAAGATTCACAAGTCTATGTGGATGAAAACATGGAGAGTAACACTATTGCAAAGTTTTTTAAACACAAAAATTTTTCTGGAATGGCATTCCAACTCCTCAATAGTTTGTTTTCGACACTTCTCTCTGGTACTCCTGACTCTAATCGCTTTTTTTTCAATGTTTTCCAAGTCAACTCTAAGGTCAATGAATTTCTGTTTCCAAACTGAGCTACTCTGAAATTCAATCAACTGCATTTCAAACTCAGCCATTTCTATCCATGAAAACATTTGTAAGTTTAGTTCCTCCAGTTTTATGCTGTCTGGAAAACTCATGAATTTTGCTCTCTTCCAGTTCTCTGAATTTCGTAAATCTTGACAAGAACTGCTCAATAGTTGACTCCATGATGTTTAAAAACAGCTTTTGAAGGCTTTCACAGACTGTTCTGTCATCTTTTGGGAGGTCTTTGATGTGCCTCTTGAGGTTTGGGAAAGATATAAATCTCTCACCATCCACATCCCTCTCAAGGACTTCCAGTTTCATTTCAAAAGCCTTTATGTTACCAAACATAACATCAAGTGTCTTGCCAGTTCCATGTAATTTAACATTTAAGTCATTCAACTGTTCATAAAAATTGTAAATGGAAGATTATGAGAGGGTTTCACGTGTCAGCAAAAGTTACTGGCGTGTCATGTTTGCCACGTGTGCCAAAGGTTGCCCACCCCTTCTCTAGCATGTGGAGAATGTGAATCCCTAATACAGTGCTAAAAAATGTAAAAAACTACAATCAGTTAAATTTTATTTTCTATTTTTTTTTAATATATTTTATTGATTTTTTACAGAGAGGGAGAGAGATAGAGAATTAGAAACATCGATGAGAGAGAAACATCGATCAGCTGCCTCCTGCACATCTCCCACTGGGGGATGTGCCCGCAACCCAAGTACATGCCCTTGACCGGAATCGAACCCGGGACCTTTCAGTCTGCAGGCCGACGCTCTATCCACTGAGCCAAACCGGTTTTGGCTTATTATCTATTTTTAAAGAATAGTTTAATAACTTTTAGAGAGAGAAGGAAGAGGGAGAGAAACATTGATGGAAGAGTGCCATATCACTTGGAGTGCGGGAAATGAGTTAAGTCGGCTCGCGTGAATTGCGCGTACTCCGCGGGAGCTGTCTTTAACTTGGTTCATATAGATTTGCGGTGGAGTGCGGGAAACGTGTAAACTCGGGCCGATTGTAACTGCGTATTACCAAATATTTGTTTGTAATCCACCCTTTTGGTGGATGGAACAAAACCAAAAGACAGAGCCATCTTATATTTTGGCGGGAAATTCACCCGCACTCCAAGTGATATTGGCCAGCCACCTCCTGCACACCCACTTCTGTGGATATAGCCACAGCACAGGCACATATCCCACTGATAATCAAATCCACAACCTTGTGCTGCATGAGAGGACGGACAAGTACTGACCCACACTGGCCCTGGTGGTATATTCCATTTAGATCACAATTTGCTAATCTCGGTAAATTTAAACATTCATCTACTCAAAAACCCAGATTATTCACTGTAGTTTTGACAAAGGTAAATAACACTTATACACATACATGGAATTATACAGAAATGTTTGTAACATCTTTGTTAGAAATAACCAAGTATTTATTAAAATGGACAAATTGATGGTGATATATCAATGATAAGAATATCTATCACAGCCCTAACTGGTTTGGCTCAGTGGCCGGTCTGCTGAATGAAGGGTCCCAAGTTCATTTCCAGTCAAGGGCATAAACCTTGGTTGCTGGCAAATCCCCAGTAGGGGGTGTGCAGGAGGCAACTGATCAATGTTACTAACTCTCTACTCCTCTCCCCTACTCTTTGTAAAATCAATAAAAAATATATTTTTAAAAAAGAATATCAGAAAAAAAGATGAGTTACTAACATAACTTTAATGAATCTCCAAGTATTTATGAAACATAATTAAAGCAGAAAAATACTTAGAAAAATAAAGTTCTCTAAATCCTTGAAAACTATAAAATCTGTGAAGAAATGGGACAGGTTAAAATAGGTCATGAAGCAATTACACAGTGAAACATATGGTCAGCAATATGAATATAACTAGAGGCCCGGTGCACAAAACTTTGTGCACTCGGGGGGGTCGCTCAGCCCGGCCGGTACCCTCTTGCAGTCTGGGACCCCTGAGGTGTTGTCCACCTGCTGGCTTAGGCATGCTCCCTGGGGGGACTGGGCCTAAGTGGGCAATCAGACATTACTCTGGCAGCCAGGGAGCCCTCAGGGGAAGTCCACTTACCAGCGGGGAGCAGGCCTAAGCTGCAGTTGGAAATCCTTAGCACTACTGAGGAGGCGGGAGAGGCTCCCACCACCACTGCTGTACTGGCAGCCGTCAGCCTGGCTTGTGGCTGAGAAGAGCTCCCACTGTGGGAGCGCACTGATCACCAGGGGGCAGCACCAGCATTGTGCATCTGCCCCCGGTGGTCAGTGTGTGTCATAGTGACATCATTCCCAGTCGTTCTGCTGTTAGGGTCAATTTGCATATTACCCTTTTATTATATAGACTAGAGGCCTGGTGTATGTGGAGGCTGGCTGGTTTGCCCTGAAGGGTGTCCCTGATCAGGGTGGGGGTCCCTGGCCAGCCTGGGTGAGGGGCTAATGGCTGTTTGCAGGCTGGCCAAGCCCCCCGAGCCACCCAAGCTCCCAGTGCAGGCTGGCTGGAAGCAGCTATATGAGGTTTATTTATCTTCTATAATTGAAACTTTGTTGCCTTGAGCGGAGCTGACAGCCGGCCAGGGCAGGCGGGAAGCTTGGCTTCCTCCAACGCAGGGGCAACCAAGCCTCCTGCTTGCTCCAGCTCCATGGCTACCAGCCGCCATCTTGGTTCGGTTAATTTGCATATATTGCTCTGATTGGCTGGTGGACGTGGCCTGTGAGTGTAGCAAAGGCACAGCCAATTTGCATGTTTCTCTTTAATTAGATAAGATGATGGTTTCAGTTTCACAAACATGTCACGATTTCTGAAACACATGTAATTTACTCATAGCTGTTAAAAATGGTTCAAGGTAAAACAAATGTACGTTCACCTATTTTGGAAGAACAGGTTTGGCAACTCTATATTCAATCCATGTTCTCATGCCCTCAGGGTGAGAGTCTCAACTTAGTGACAGAAAATGTAATAAACAATGAAGAACTTTCACCCAAACCCACAAAAGCCACATTCCTGGTCTAAAGACCGCCATTGTCTCCCATCTTTCTTTTGATGCCAGCGAACCAATGGCTCTGATGGGAACTTCTGAGAAGCTACAGGAGCAACAAAACATCTTGATTGTAATCAATGACAATGACTGCTTCACAGAAGATAAACAAGCCTGGAGTCCCTCAGATCTGTGTACACACAACTCTTGTAGTCTTTTCCTAAAAATAATGCCGGGATGCACAGTTAGGTGAGGACCATTCCATCTAAAGGAGTGCAGTCTCATCCAACCACAATTAGGTCAGTGTTTCTGTAGTGAAAGGGTTCCCCCTGAATGCGATGGTCCTCAAACCAGTGACCATCACCCGTGATATTGTAGGCATTAGGGCTTATGTCCCTCTGCAAGACCTGGGTAAGAGATTCACTTCATATGTATTGGCATCGCTTGCAAACAAGAAAAAAATTCATGTTTCCAGACACACTTGAGGTTGTCACAGCTACACTCTCTTTGGAGTGATCTCTATGTGTTGACACATATTCACATGAGAAGTAGAGTGTCCACAGTGTTTCCTAGGAAAATATGGGCAGTACTGTAAATTTGCCGAAAACTGAACTAATTTCTGAACCATACTGTTCCCCACGCGCAAAAATGTGTGAGACCCCTAAAAGTTTTTCACCTCTTCATGCTTGGAAAGCCCAGATCTCCTTATAAACTAACCTATCGAGTAAATAGAACACCCCAGATTAAAGAATTCTTAAGAAAAAGCCTTCATTATTTTACAATCCATAGAGACATGAGACTGGCAGTTGTTCCGTTGATGAAATAGGCACGCAATAAACTCATCATTAGCATCTAGGGAAAGTGTGTCCCTGAAAATGGCAGGCCCTCTGCAACATTATGTTTACTGTGGCCAACTGTAATGAGTCCTATTTGGCAACACAAGACAGGGAAAGAAGAAAGAACTAAGGACTCAGGTATTCCTCATTTCCATCAACAAATTAGAGTCTGACTTAGCTTCCCTGGGAATGGGAGGATGGTGACTGATGCCATCTGTAGGGACCTTATAGGTGGTTCAGGTGAATTACCTTCAGCAACAGAAATGTGCAGTGACACAGATCTGGCAGTACATCCTATATGTTAGAACGTGCAACATAATTACATAGTGTTCCAACATAAAAACACAGAAACACAACAGCAAAAACACTTATGGGAACTTTACATAATGTAGGTGATTAAATGTACGATACAATTCAGAAAAATGAGGACTCACAAATTTTCTTGTACTATTGTTAAGTCCTAAGAAACTACATTTCCTACACATTTAAGAAATTTCTCACATTTGTACTCTTATGCGGAGAGGGAATTTAGAAATTTGGCTGAGAGATACCTCACATTAATTGCACTCTTAATAGCTTTCTCCAGTGTGAACTCTCTGATGATACTGAAGACCACTGCTCCTTTTAAAAGAATTCCCACATTCAGTGCATTTATAAGGCTTTTCTCCCGTATGAACTCTCTGATGTTGATCAAGGATGGTTTTAGTGGTAAAAGATTTTCCACATTCACTGCATTGATATGGCTTTTCTCCTGTATGAACTCTCTGATGTCGATCATGGATGGTTTTAGTGGTAAAAGATTTTCCACATTCGCTGCATTGATATGGCTTTTCTCCTGTATGAACTCTCTGATGAAGATGAAGGGCAGACTTAATGGTAAAAGATTTGCCACACTCACTGCATTGATAAGGCTTTTCTCCAGTATGAACACTCTGATGACGATGAAGGCCAGACTTAATGGTAAAAGATTTGCCACACTCACTGCATTGATAAGGCTTTTCTCCAGTGTGAACTCTCTGATGATATAGGAGACTTTTTCTACACTTAAAAGGTTTTCCACATTCACTGCATTTATAAGGCTTTTCTCCTGTATGAACTCTCTGATGTCGATCATGGATGGTTTTAGTGGTAAAAGATTTTCCACATTCACTGCATTGATATGGCTTTTCTCCTGTATGAACTCTCTGATGAAAACGAAGATTACCGCTCTGGGTAAAAGATTTTCCACATTCACTGCATTTATAAGGCTTTTCTCCTCTATGAACTACCTGATGGTAACGAAGGTAAGTGCTCCGGGAAAAAGATTTCCCACACTCAAAACATTTATAAGGCTTTTCTCCCGTATGAACTCTCTGATGAATACGAAGGGTAGTGCTCCGGGTAAAAGATTTCCCACATTCACTACACCGATAAGGCTTTTCTCCTGCATGAACTACCTGATGTCGATCACGGATGGTTTTAGTGGTAAAAGATTTCCCACACTCACTGCATTGATAAGGCTTTTCTCCAGTGTGAACTCTCTGATGATATAGGAGACTTTTTCTACACTTAAAAGGTTTTCCACATTCACTGCATTTATAAGAGTTTTCTCCTGTATGAACTACCTGATGGTAATGAAGGTAAGTGCTCCGGGAAAAAGATTTCCCACACTCAAAACATTTATAAGGCTTTTCTCCCGTATGAACTCTCTGATGAATACGAAGGGTAGTGCTCCGGGTAAAAGATTTTCCACATTCACGACACTGATAAGGTTTTTCTTCCGTATGAACTACCTGATGATCATGAAGACCAGTACTCCGTGTAAAATATTTTCCACATTCAGTGCATTTATAAAGGTTTTCTCCTGTATGAAGTCTCAGCTGTCGATGAAGGTGGGTCTTAGTGGTAAAAGCTTTGCCACATTCACTGCATTGATAAGGTTTTTCTCCAGTGTGAACTCCCTGATGAAAACGAAGGGTAGTGCTCTGAGTAAAAGACTTCCTATATTCACTGCATTTACAAGGCTTTTCTCCCATATGAACTCTCTGATGTTGCTGAAGGATGTTCATAGTGGTAAAAGATTTACCACATTCCCTGCATTTGTAATGCTTTTCTACAGTGTGACCGCTCTGTTGATAATGAAAGCCAGAAAATTTGGTAAAAAATTTTCCACATTCAGAGCACACACAACACCCACTTCCAAGATGGAAATCTTTTTCCTGAATAAACGTGTGGGTGCAACTAATGTCTTTCTTACATTCTTTTCTGCTGAAATAATTTTTTCTACTTTGAAACGTCATCCCACGCATCAAAATAGCAGTTGGACTGTCCCTGGTCTGAGAAGCCTGTAGGTAGAGATGTCCAGATTCCGTAAGGACACTCTGCCCAACCTCCCCACAGGTGAAATGATTCTGGGACACATTGAAATTGCATCTGTTTGCAAGTGACATCCTTTCCGGAATTCTAATGTACGTCTGTTCTCTCACATGCTGCTGGTGAAATGTTGCACACAAAGAAAATCTTTTTGCACACGCTCCACACCTCAACAGTATCTGTCTGTGTTGTGTTCCCTGCAGCTCCATCACGCGGAAAATGTTTCCCAGGACTATCCCACAACTCTCACAGGGGTGGCTCTTCTGGGAAGACAAGGCTAACTTGGGATTCCTTGCCTGTGAAAATCTTCCAGAAACCTTTTGTTCAGTCGGGGCCTCCACATTCTCTTCTCCACAGCAGCAACCTGAACAAAAGTAAATGTAGGTGAAGTGCATGTTGAGCTGATAAAAACAGAATATCTTCAACACAGATGTTTATCTGTCATGGCTGAACACGATTTCTTTCTTTATTTTTATTTTTAAATATATTTTATTGATTTTTTACAGAGAGGAAGGGAGAGGGATAGAGAGTCAGAAACATGAGAGAGAAACATCGACAAGCCGCTTCCTGCACACACCCCCACTGGGGATGTGCCTGCAACCAAGGTACATGCCCTTGACCGGAATCGAACCTGGGACGTTTCAGTCCATAGGCCAACGCTCTATACACTGAGCCAAACCGGTTAGGGCAAGGATATGATTTCATACAATGATTTTCAAGACGACTGCGTCAGACTCTCAAGAAATGGCTGCTATATATATAACATGACTCAAAAGGTCACTGAATGAAGAAAATCTCACCAAGGGAGGACAAAAGCATAGGCTGGCATAAAAGGAAGAGAGGCAGTGGTCTGCCCATTATTACTCCACAAATGGCTTCCTTTAAGCCCTTTCATGCTGGCAATGCGAGTCTGTGTAGAATAATTCCAATGTGTTCAAAACCATAAATGATCAATCATATTAGAGCATGTGGTGTTCAGCGTCAATGTAATAATTCATGTGTACTGTAAGGCCTGCAGGCACAGAACAATATTGAAGTGCAGTAAAGCTAGATGTTTGAAAGAGGTAGGGGTGCAAAGTTTGGAGAGGTTAAGGGTATCCACAGGCTGGGAATCCCAATAGAATGATCACTGTTAAAACTGAAACGTGCTGAACCGGTTTGGCTCAGTGGATAGAGCATCGGCCTGCTGACTGAAGGGTCCCAGGTTCGATTCCGGTCAAGGGCATGTGCCTTGGTTGCGGGCACATCCCCAGTAGGGGGCGTGCAGGAGGCAGCTGATCGATATCTCTCATCGATGTTTCTAACTCTCTATCCCTCTCCCTTCTTCTCTGTAAAAAATCAATAAAATATATATTAAAAAATAAAAAATAAAAACTTGAAAAGTGTCAACATTAAGCAAGAAGTAGAATTGGGTGAGGAGTGGGCAATGGTAACAAAACATTGTTGAACAAAATGGGTTCCTAGTTATGAATGTAACAAAGCCCAGGCATGAAAACTCCCCCCACAGTCCTTCACCAAGGCAAGACTGCCTCTGGGTCTAGCCTGTCACTGATAAAGGCATGTTTCTCCTGTGATATACAAAGGATTCTGCCTCTTAAATCCCAGTTGAGCCACTGCATGGGATAAATGATGCAAATTTTAGAAGAAAAACTAAAAAGATGGATTGTCAGCAATGTGGTAGAACAACAAAGGACAAAAGAGATCACGGGCAAAAGGCCTAGGAGACTGACATCAGCAAGATGGCAGAATCAGAGATAGAGAAACTTTCCCCATTCAAGAGTAAGTAGATAGCTACTCATGAGAAAAACATCCCACAGGAAATGGTAATAAGAGTATCATGAAGATACACAGCAATACAGAATACCAAATAAGGAAAACTGCATAGAAAGGATGACAGGAAACTGAGTGAGCAATCACATTTGAAGATACCTAAGGTCAACAATCTACACTAATAAAAGAGAAACATGGTAATTAGCGTACGACCGCTACCCTTCCCATTGGCTAATCAGCATATCCTTATGCAAATTAACTGTCAGCCAAGATGGCGGCCAGCAGCCATGCACTGAAGCGAGCAGGGAGGCTTCCTTGCTCCAGTGACTGCGGACTCCAACGTTCCCCGCCTAACTTGCCGGCCTCTCAGCTGCAACTCTAAGCAACTATGTACTATGTTGCAAATATAGAAGCTAAACAAAACCCCAGAAACCGGCTTTCAGTCAGCCCCGGACCGCAACATTGTATCGATGTTTTCAGCAGCGAGGCCTCAGAGCTAAAGCTGGCCCAGAATAAAAAAAAAAAAAAAAAGAAAACAAGGAGCGGTTGGGAGCTTCAGTCACTCGCCAGCCGGAAAACAGCCCTCAGCCCCTCACCCAGACTGGCCAGGCACCCCAGTGGGGACCCCCAACCTGATCCAGGACACCCTTCAGGGCAAACCAGCCAGCCCCCACCCATGCACCAGGCCTCTATCCTATATAGTAAAAGGGTAATATGCCTCCCGGCACCGGGATCAGCGGAGCAGCGAGGCTCCCGGCACTGGGATCAGTTTGACAGGGAGCAGCGCCCAAACCCCCTGATCGCCCTGCGGCTCTGTGTGTGACAGGGGGCGGGGCCACAACCTCCCTATCCGCCCTGCTCTGTTCGTGACAGGGGAAGGCGCCCCAACCCCCTGATCAGCCCTGCTCTGTGCCTGATAGGGGGGAGCTCCCCAACTCCCTGATCGCCCTGCGGCTCTGTGTGTGACAGGGTGCAGCGCCCTAACCCCCTGATCGGCCCTGCTCTGTGTGTGACAGGTTAGAGCCATAACCTCTCCATCGGCCCTGCCCTGAGTGTGACAGTGGCAGCGCCCTAACCCCCTGATTGGCCCTGCTCTGTGGGTGATAGAGGGTGGTGCCCCAACCCCCCTCCACGGGCGTTGCTCTGTGTGTGACAGGGTAGAGCCATAACCTCCCCATTGGCCCTGCCCTAAGTGTGACAAGGGGTGGTGCCCCAACTCCCCTGATGGGCCCTGCTCTGTGAGTGACAGGGGGCAGCGCAACAACCCCTTGATCCGCACTGCTCTGTGTGTGACAGGGGGCGGTGCCCCAACTCCCCTATCGGCCCTACTCTGTGAGTGACAGGGGGGAGCTCTTCAACCCCCTGATCGGCCCTGCTCTGTGTGTGACAGGGTACGGAGCCCAAACCCCCCTGATGGGACATGCTCTGTGAGTGACAGGGGGCAGCGCAACAACCCCCTGATCGGCCCTGCTCTGTGAGTGACAGGGGGCAGTGCCCCAAACCCCTGATCAGCCCTATTCTGTGTGTGACAGGGGGTGGCGCCGCAACCTCCCCATCAACCCTGCCTTGAGTGTGACAGGGGGCGGTGTCCCAACCCCCCAATTGGCCCTACCCTGAGCGTAACTGAGGGGGGCATCGCAACTCCTGATCCGCCCTGCTCGGTGCATGATGGGGCGGCGCCCCAACTCCCCAATCAGCCCTGCTCTGAGCCTGACCAGGGGCTGCACCTAGGGATTGGACGTGCCCTCTGCCACCCGGGAGCAGGCCTAAGCCAGCAGGTCGTTATATCCCGAGGGGTCCCAGACGGCGAGAGGGCACAGGCCGGGATGGGGGACCCCCTCCCCTGAGTGCACAAATTTTTGTGCACCGGGCCTCTAGTAAAAGTTAATAATAATTAACTAACTAACTGACTAAGTGAGTAAATAAATAAAGCAAGGGTCAGCCCTAGCTGGCTTACTCAGTGGATAGAGTGTAAGCCTGGGGACTGAAACGTCCTAGGTTCCATTCCAGTCAAGGGCACAGGTCCAGTTTGTTGTGGGTTCAGTCCCAGTACGGGGGCATGCAGGAGGCAGCTGACCAGTGATACTCTCTTATCATTAATGTTTCTCTCTCTATCTCTCTTTCTCTGTCTCCCTTCCTCTGAGAAATCCATAAAAATGTATTAAAACAAAAGGGTTAACCCTAGCTGATTTCGCTCAGTGGATAGAGCATCAGCTTTTAGACTGAAGGGTCCCAGGTTCCATTCTGGGAAAGGGCATATGACAAGGTTGGGGGCTCAGTCCCTGCTGGGGGGCGTGCAGGAGGCAGCCAATCAATGATTCTATCTCATAACTGATGTTTCTATCTCTCGTTCCCTCTCTCTCCCTTATGAAATCAATAAAAATATATTTAAATAAATAAATAAAAGGGTTAGCATTACCACTATCAGCCACTGTGCTAGTCTCATTGATCCTAGTGGCCTGTTCTCTAAAAGCCTGGACATTTAAAAACAAAAAACAAAAAACACAGAATGCCCTGGCCAATGTGGCTCAGTTGGTTGGAGCATCCTCTAGTGTATCAAAGGCTGGAGGGTTCGATTCTCAGTTAGGGCACATTTCAGAATGAGGCTTTCATATCCGGTTTACATGTGTGCAGAAGGGAGCTGATTGATATTTCTTCCCCACCTCTCTCTCTCCCTCTTTCTTTCTCCATTTCTCTTCCTCTCTATGTAAAAGGAATCTAATTATATAAACAGCTAGGGGTTCTGACGGCCTAAACGACCAAACTGACAACTGAATGCCGGAACTCAATCCTGAAGTAAGTGCTGGGTCGATGACCCAGCACTGACTGCTGAGGCTGGTGGGCAGGCAGGGCCAGGCAGGAGTCACAGGTGGGACTCAGTCCCAGGTCATGTAAGTGGAAACCAAAAGATATAGAAACAAAGAAGACCTATCCCTCCAACTGGGAAGATATTCACAGAAGAATAGTAGGGAGCCAGAACTCCCACCATCTCATAACAAAATGATTACCCATCTCCCTCCCCCTTCACCCCTCCGCCAAAACACACACCTACAAATCTTGGGCCATGTGGGGAACCTCGACTTCTACTCTCTTCTTGAAATAATGAGATGGCATTTCACCCTGCCATTACCAGAGCAATAACAAAGCAAGTCAGATACAACGGGCTTGACAAGATCAAGAGTTTCATCATGCTCAAAATTTCTAAGTTTCAATTATGAAATTATTCATACAAAGAAGCAGAAAGATCTAAAACTGAATAAAAGAGATAACAGAAACTAACACTATTAGTGATGATAGAGTTATTTGATAGTAAGTTTAATGCAGCCATCAAAACAATCTTTACATGAGTGATTTTGAACATCATTAAATGGGAAAAAAAGCAAGTAATGGCAAGTAAATAGAAAGTCTCAGCAAAGAAAATGAAGCTATAAAGAAAAACCAGATGAAAACTATAGTACAGAAGACTATTATAACTGAAATAAATAACTCAGTGTATAGGCTCAAAACAGAATGGATGGAACAGAGGAAACACTCAGGGAACTAGAAAATTTAACAATAAAAATATCCAATGAGAATAGAGAGAAAATGGGCTTGAAAACAGCAACAGAAAAAGAGCAGAACCACAGGAACCAGTGGAGTCATAACAACAAAAACAACAAATCACCACAAAATAAAACTGTAACATTTGGAGTCCAGGAAGAAATGAAAGAAGATGCAGCTGAAAGAGTACTTGAAGAAATAATGGCTGAAACGCTTCCAATTGGTCAAAAGACAGAAATCCTCAATTTTAAGAAGGTCAGCAAATACAAAATGAGATAAACCCAAAGATAGCAACACCCACATCATAAATTTATGAAAAATAAAAACAAAGAAAAAAATCCTAAAAGTTCTGAATGACAAATAGCACTTCATCTATAAGGAAAAAGTAATTCTCATGACAACAGGTTTTCCATTAGAAACCATAAAGTCTAAAAATAAAGGAACTGTCAACAGAGTCCTATTTCCAGAGAAAATATCCTTCAGCAATATGGGGAAAATCAAGGCTCCTCAGAAAAGAGAACACAAATGTAAACAAGAATTGATAAAGGATAATATCCAAATCTCAAAAAATATATGAAATATATTCAATATCATCTATCCAGGTAAACTCAAATTTATTCCTCCATGACTTACCAGGATAGGTAAAATTAAATAGGTTTATAATACTAATTACTGGGAAGTATCTGCAGGATCTGGAACTCTCATTCACTGCTGGTGGTTGTATCACTTGGATAAAAGGATGTGCAAAACTGTACCTACTAAAATTAAACATATACCTACATCATGAGTCCTTAAATTTACTGCTCTTATTATATCCAAAAGACATGAGCATATAGATCCTCAAAATCATATGTGAAAGGATGTTTAGCGTAGCTTTATTCATAATATTTTCAAATTAGAAACAACTTACAAATCTGCCTACAGGTAAAAGGAAGAATGGTAGTAAATATCAATAGTAGAATACTACACAGCTATAAAAGAAGAATAAAATCATGCTAGGAAGAATATGGGTTAATTTCATAGATATTATGTTGAGCAAAAGAAATGAGACACAAATAAGAATACATCATATAAATCCACTGATATGAATTTCATGAGCTGATGGTACTATCAATGATTATAAAGGTCAGAAAATTAAGAAATTCTGAGGGTCGTCATCAGAAAGGGGGATGAAAGAAACTTCTAAAATCTTGAAAAAGATTCTACAACTTATATTGGGTCTTACATATGTAAAGAAGTTTGATCTCTACATTTATGTTTCATGCACAGGTGGAGTTAAATGTAAGTGCTTTCTAGCACTGAAAGTTGCTTCTTATTTGAGCTTGGGTTCCTCAATTTTCAGAGTCCATGCTATTCTCCATTATGTCATATTACCCTCTGAAGATAAACAGTGCCATCAAGATGTAATTCTTCCCTGACTGGTTTGCTCAGTGGATGGAGCATTGGCCTGTGGACTGGGGCGTCCCAGGTTTGATTCCAGTCAAGGGCATGTGCCCTGGTTGCGGGCACTTCCCCAGTGGGGGATGTGAGGGAGGTGGCTGATCAATGTTTCTCTCTCATGGATGTTTCTAACTCTCTATCCCTTCCTCTCTGTGGAAAATCAATAAAATATATTTTAATGAAAAAAAAAATGGTAGGGAGACAAGCAGTTAGGAGCCAGTGGTCCCCGATTGGGAGAGGGATGTCTGATTGGGCCTAAACCGGCAGTCGGATATCCCCAAGAGGTCCGGACTGGAGATTAGAGAGGGTGCAAGCCGGACCAAGGACACCGTCCCTGCCCCCTCTCTCCCCCAAATTTCATGCAACTGGCCTCTAGAAATACTAAATACATAAATAAATAAATAAGAATTTCAGGGTAGCCAAATACAGAAGTGATCTAGAGAAAAAGGAAATAAAACAACCTACCAAAGCTTCTGTATAACATTCAGAAAATGGAATTCTAAGGAGAAATTTTATAGAGATAAATGCCTACATTGTCATAAAAGATCTCAAAGAACCTAACATAGCACCTCAGGAAACTAGAAACACAATAGGAAAGTAAACCCAAAGGTCTCAAAGGAAAAATACCATAAATATTAGAACCAACATAAACAAAAGGGATTTAAGACAAAAGAAAGGAATACCTAAAAGGTATATTTTAAAAATATGTAAAAATGTGGAAGCGTTTAGCTACACTAAAGCAAAAACAACCAACCAAAACCAACCAAAAACCAAGCCTCAAATAAGTTAAAAAATAAATGCAAGAGCCCTAACTGGTGGTTTGGCTCAGTTGATAGAGTGTCGGCCTGGGGACTAAACAGTCCCAGATTTGATCCAGTCAAGGGCACGTACCTTGGTTGTGGGCACATCCCCAGGAGGAGATGTGCATGAGGCAGCTGATTGATTTTTCTCTCTCATCAACGTTTCTAACTTTCTATCCCTCCTCCTTCCTCTCTGTAAGAAATCAATAAAATATATTAAAATAAAAAGACATGAAATATAAGCCATTACACCGGTCACTATGAACCACAATGCATCATAAGAGACGGTGATGTTAGCACATGAACTGACGCTCCATAGAGAAATTTGTCAAAATCCCACTATGAGCTTCTGAAATTAATAAACAAATTCAGAATCCTGTCCAGGTGGCTCAGTTGTTGAGTATGTGGTCCTGATACACCAAAGTTGTGGATTTGGTACCCCATCAAGGCACATGTAGGGGACAACCAATGAATGCATAGATGAGTAGAACAGCTGATCTGTGTTTCCCTCCCTTTCTCTGTCTCCTTACTGTCTCTAAAATCAATAAGTAAATGCTGCCTGGTATGTCTCACTGATTGAGCACTGACTCATGAAATAGACGATCACAATTCGATTCTTTGTTAGGACACCTGCACTGGTTGCGAGCTCAATCACCAGTGGGGGGTCGTGCAGGAGGCAGCTGATCAATGACTCTCTCCCTCTCATCACTGTTGCTTTTATGTCTCTCTCTGCTCCCTCAAGGAAATAAAAAATACATATATTTAAATAAATAAATAAATAATTACAAGAATAAATAAATACCCCTAGCCACTGTGCTTCACTGATGAGAGTGCTAGCTTGTGCACTGGAGGGCTAGGGTTCGATTCCCAGTCAAATACAGGTACCTGGGTTGCAGGTCCGCTCCCCTTTCTCAGTAGGGGCTCATATGGGAGGCAGACAATTGATATTTCTCTCTTTCTCTCTCTATTTCTCTCTCTCTCTCTCTCTCTCTCTCTCTCTCTGTCTCTCTGTCTCCCACTCTCTCTCTAAAAAAACAATCAATGAAAAAAATATCCTCTCTATTTTAGGTGAAGCTAATACAAGAATAAAGAATTAAATTCAGCCCTGACCTGTTTAGCTCAGTGGATAGAGCCTCAGCCTGCGGACTCAAGGGCCCCAGATTCGATTCCGGTCGGGGGCATGTACATTGGTTGCGGGCACATCCCCAGTGGGGTGTGTGCAGGAGGCAGCTGATCGATGTTTCTCTCTCATCGATGTTTCTGGCTCTCTATCTCTCTCCCTTCATCTCTGTAAAAAGTCAATAAAATATATTAAAAAAAATTTCTAGGTTTCAATTATCAAATTATTCATACAAAGAAGCAGAAAGATCTAAAACGGAAAAACAATATTTAACTGCTAAGCACTAGTAACAAGCATCTGAGCTTGCCAGAAACATAGTGGCAGTAGACCTGCTGAACGCAGGGTTGCGAAGAACATGGAATTTCTCACCCTAACCAGTTCGGCTCAGTGGATAGAGCCTCAGCCTACGGACTCAAGGGTCCCAGGTTCGATTCCCGTCAAGGGCATGTACCTTGGTTGCAGGCACATCCCCAGTAGGGAGGGTGCAGGAGGCAGCTGATCGATGTTTCTCTCTCATCGATGTTTCTAACTCTCTATCCCTCTCCCTTCCTCTCTGTAAAAAAATCAATAAAATATACTAAAATAAAAAACAAACAAACAAAAATCATGGACTTTCTGGAAAAACAGGTGTGGGGGAGCAATATCTGCAAAGCACAATTAAGCACATACAAAAATATGTGTTCCTGTATGTTGTAAGCAATTAATATATAAAATATACAAGGTATTCCAAATATTCTTTAACGAAAAAAAATATAGTTAACAAACTGGATAAGCATGTAATACAACTTTTCAAAATATATTTACACATGACCAATAGGAATACAGAAAATGTTTTCCTCACTAATCAAGGTGGAATTCCTTAGCTGCCAACAACACTACCAACCACAAGTCCTTCCCTGTGAATTTAGTGCAGCGGGGAGTATTGGGACTTCAGGAATAGAAGGGAGCAGCAGAAACAGACCAACCCTCCCCAGGACAGCAACTACCCAGATAACTGGAAAAACAAGCAGTACCACAGTCTACATGGGAGGACAGAGCACACCCTGGGGGATGGGGCCTGGGAAATGGCAAAGCCAAGTCCAGGTCAATGGTGATAGTGAGGGTCTTACCCAGCGAGGATATTAGTTCAAAGTTCTCCAGCATCACATTCACGTACAGCTGTCTCTGACCCTCATCTAAGAGGCTCCATTCCTTCCTGGAGAAGTACAGGGCAATGTCCTCAAAGGTCACGCCAACCTGTCAGAATTAAGACAATTGAAACCAGACCTGCCTTTCTGAGAACCAGTAATCCTACTCCTTACACACCTTCCCCCCCTCAACCTCCTCCAGGGCACCCGGTTAGTGTGGACACCAGGCCCTAATGCCAGTGCAGGCTGCTCTCTCATCACAGTCCCATTACTCACTGCATGGCCCTCAGCAGAGCAGCTGGGTTGGGTGGGAAGGATTGGGGGAGGGGAGGGGAGAGGGCAATGCCATTTAAGGTCTGGCCAAGTCTGCAGGGCCCCAGCCTTCCTGCCAGCAACACCACTGCAGTCTCCTAGATCCTGCCGCCAAGACAAAGCCAAGCGTCGGTTTATGCTTCACCTTTAGGTCCCCACACCAGATCCCGGGACCATCAGCTCACACTTCCTCCAGATGTGCACACCACTGGGTATGTTTATCCCCTTCCCATGTTCAGATCCCAGGTTCACTCCCTCAGCTCTGCCCCCTTCCTGCTCCAATGCCACTGGGTCTCGCTGGACTCACCCATGAACTTGGCATATGGCGTGTAGAGAGCTTGTAGTCCAGCCGGATCCAGGAACACCCCAGGCCCCTGATGGACCCACAGCCGGGAAAGCCCCGAATGAGGCTGTGCCCTCCTCCCTGCAGCCTCTGATCTTTCAGTCAATACTCACAGCCACATCCTCAGGGACCTTCAGATGCAAGTCACCCCCGTCCTCTCTGCCCTGCACCTGCTGTGTCCTCAGAAGCCACAACACTCCTCTCTCCCCTCCACCTTCCTCACGGTCCTCCACGCGGGACTGAGCTGCAGGACGGGACAGGCACCTGCACCCGGGCTGTCCTGTCGGTATAAGTAGCGATGAGGGGAGGACCCGGGGGACACACTCACCTCAGCCCGTCTCCTCAGCACCGGCGCCTCCATTGCACTCGGTAGTCGGAGCGGGGCGGGAGCAGAAGCCGCTGCAGGAATGGCGGTCCCTCTCCCGGCCCTGGGCGGGTCTGGTGGCGACTCCGAGCTTCAATCCCACCTGTGCGTTGTGAGCACCACTGGAGGCTCCGACCATTGGCTGTGAGGCGGGAAAAGCACTCTCTAGCCTTCTCCCCGGGACTCTGCAAACAAGTACCGCCGACCGCTTAAGACAAAATGGAGAAAAAACTACGGGTCCGGTACACCAGAACTTGAAAAACGGAAACGCCTTTTCTGAGCTCCCATTGGCTCAGCCTGGTGGCATTCCACGCCCGGCCTTCTGGGTAATGTAGTTCCTACGCTCCCTGGCCAGGATCCTGTATTTCCTCAGCGGACTACAGGACTGGTTTTAACGGGCAAATAGCCCAAGAACACAGGGTATACTCAGGGCCCTCCAGCGCATTCAGGGGAGGGGATTTCTAGAACAGGTTTGTTTCTGTGGGACCTGCCTGGCTTCCTTTAGCTGCTGGTTTTGCATATCTTTCTTCAGAATCTGCTCTTTTCTGAATGACAGGCAATGTGTGTTCTTTCAGGCCATTAGGCTTTCTGTCCCCTTCAGGCTTAATGTAGCTTGCAGAGGTTGTTTAAGTGTCTAAAGCACCTATCCTCCCTCCATTGTACAAAGTTAATGTCTCAAAACAGACATCACTATTTAAGAGCATCTGCTTCTGGGGCCAAAGTGTCAGCTCTGCCAGGACTGCAGTGTGGATAAGATGGCCAAGACACATTTGAAAAAATGCTCAAAGTCACTGATTATCAGAGAGATGCAAATTAAAGCAACAATTAGATACCACCTCACAACTGTCAGGAAGACTACCATCAACAAAAGACAAGTGCTGGCGAGGATATGGAAAAAAGGGAACCCTAGTACACTGCTGATAAAAATGCAGACTGGGACAGCTCCTCTTATCTACACAACTTCAGCTCAGCCCACGGCCCCTCCATTGGTTGTCCCATAGTACCAGGCACTACTGAAAAGCAGAAGCCACCATTTCTTCCTTGCCCTGAATTGACTAGCAATACTTGGCCTTTTACTCTCTTGGAAAGTAAAATAAATTTCCTCTTTGCATTACTTCTTTTAGTTGTGAATTCCTTCACAGGCTGTATCACCAACCAAAACTTAACAGTATTCCTTTATTTTGTGGAGTTAAGGGAATTATTGTGAAAGAAGATGAAGGAAATGACATTGTAGAGGCATCATAATTTTCCCTTCTTTTCTAGCTTCTTTGGTTAGTCTAAGAATTAAATGGGTATTACATAGATTAACAGGGCAAAACAATAAAAAAGTTATTAACATGTATACCTACTGTATACATCAAGCATGTCACACTTGCGGTCCCTGGGCTGCAGGAAGCCCACAAGGAATATCCATTAACGATGACTCATTTATTTCAGGCCTTCGTATTCAGCATGTCTCTATCAAAATAAACCTACATTTCTATGAAAATTGAAGCTTTTATTTTTTTTGCGGCCCACATAAACTTAAACCTTGTTTATATGGCCCATATTAGCCTTTGAGTTTGACATATTGGTATACATGGAAACGACGAAAAAAACCAGAGTAACTGGCCAAAACGGCAAACACCATCATCTGAAAAGCCACCTTCACCTACAATAAAAAATTGTTGTGTATGGGGAGTGAGTTAGGATGGATTGTCAAGAAAAGCACAGTATGAACCTCAGTTGTGGCCCAGTGTGCTGTGCACTGTGGTGAGGGCTTGTATTCAAAAGGTCTCTGTTCCAACCAAAAGACTCATGGTGCAGACACAGGAGACTGGGAAGGAGGACAGGAATCCAAAACATGATCCGGGCTGCAGGGAAAACCTGGTGAGAGCCATTGTCTCATTCTGCCAGTAGGGATATAGAGGACAGAATCACATGGCAGTGGGTCCTAAGCATGAATAAGAGGTAAGCCTGGTGACTGAAAAGTCCTAGGTTCCATTTCAGTCAAGGGCACAGGTCCAGTTTGTTGTGGGTTCAGTCCCAGTAAGGGGGCATGCAGGAGGCAGCTGACCAGTGATACTCTCTTATCATTCATGTTTCTCTCTCTCTCTCTGTCTCTCTCTCTCTGTCTCCCTTCCTCTGAGAAATCAATCAAAATGTATTAAAACAAAAGGGTTAACCCTAGCTGGTTTCGCTCAGTGGATAGAGCATCAGCTTTTAGACTGAAGGGTCCCAGGTTCCATTCGGGAAACGGCATATGACAAGGTTGGGGGCTCGGTCCCTGCTGGGGGGCGTGCAGGAGGCAGCCAATCAATGATTCTCTCTCATCATTGATGTTTCTATCTCCCTTGACTGGACTCAAAACTGGGACACCATCAGTCCGAAGGCCTACGCTCTATCCACTGAGCCACTGAGCCAAACCGGTCAGGGCAGGAATATTTTCTTTTTCAATGATTTGCTACTCATTCCATAAAGCCTTTAAACAGGCCTAGTTGAAAACACATCTTTATGCACTGCTGTGACAGTTCATCCTCAGAAGCAGATGGGATCCTTAGTAAATGATGGTTGACGCCATGAAACATCATGCTGTGGCTTTCCTTCCACAGCTTTAAATTCTTCGGCTCACACTGTATTATATTTTCTCAGCTCACTGTACTTTCCTCAAGATGTTGCGAATGAGGAGGCCTCACATTTGTAGAAAAAATAATTTCCTGGTAGCCAGTGTTTCAGCAGAGCCATATCTAAAGTTAATTATCTCACCTCTTGGGAATCAGTGTCTTTAATTTACCACCTATTCAGACCTACCTGCTGTCAGCCTTCATAGAGACTTTTGTCTTCTAGCTATATAAATACTGCTCATTGTATAAACTCCATTATGCCTTTCCATAGTTTGCTCTAGCAATATTCTCTTCCATAAATAATGATCATTCTGCATGCAGACACTGTAACTGCATGAAGAGGTGAAATAATTATTTCCAAGCAAGGTTGTGAGACCCTAGGATCCACAATCTTTCTCTCAGGTGCAGATGCCCACTTTCCAAACCTTGAATAGTGCCAACATGATAGCCATGTATACAACAAATAGTTTGGCTCAAAGGATGGATCCTTGGCCTGTGGACTGAGGGGTCAAGGCTTTCATTCTGCTCAAGAGCCTCTACCTCGTGGGGGCTCAACACCCAGCCAGTTCAGGGCATGTTTGGGAGTCCACCAAATGATTTGTTTCTCACACACAGATATTTCTCTCTTTGTGTGTCTCTCCACCTCCTTAACACTCTCTAAAACTCAATGGAAAAATCAGAAGTTGAGGGTTAAAAAGAAACAAAAAAATGATTGATCAAAGAAAATATTCTCTAGGATGTGGAGAATGAATCCCTCATATACTGCTAGTATAATGCAAAAATGCACAATCAATTTTTATTTATTTTAAAAGAATATTGTACTGATTTTTAGAGAAAGAATTAGAGGGAAAGAAACATCTATATGATAGTGCAACCTCAATCATAAGGCTTGTGCACACCCCATTTTGGGGATCTAGCACACAACCAGGACCTTTTCCCCACTGGCAATCCAAGGCCCAACACTAGGTTGCAATCCAGCCTTTATATCTGACACTTGTTTTGTGGGGAAGCAAGTCTGTATACGTGCGAGCACCTGGGTGTTTACTAAAATCTTTATGCTTAGTCTTTAGATGTCCTTTGTTAAAGGACGCTGCAGACACATGTGTGATCTCAAGGATGCTTACCCTACTGATAGTATCTAATAGTTAATTTTGATTCAAGCTGTTGTTACAATAAAAGCCTAAGGAGGTAGGTGAACGGGGCTGTTTGGTTCTGTTATCCAGGCAGTCCCTTAGCCCTCTCTTTCACAAAAATGTGTCAGAGTCATCATTCATCCATCACTCAGAGTCTGCTGTTCAGCCCTGGCATTGTTTCTTAAGTAAACTTGGAAAATCTTCCTCATTTCTGTAATCGCTATGTTCCCAGCAGTTCAATACCCGTTTAGACTTTCCAGGTTTTTGTGAGAATTAAAAGACAAAAATACTCAAAAAGTCATCTCTGGAACCCTGGCCCAGGCAAGTACCAACTCTATAACTTTTATTGATTCTCACAGTCCTAGCTAAGTCCAGTATCAGCGTCATGTTACATTTAACCAACTGAGGTGGTGCAGGGAGCTGTAGTGAGTCTCCTGGAGATTCCAGGTTGGAGACCCAACACTGAGACCTTGGTGCCCACAGTACTGCCTCCCTGCTGGTGGGTCAGCAGGTTCAGAAAGGCCCTTACACACAAAGGTGCTTGTTGGCACTGGGGAACTGAAGGGTTCCTGTCCTGAGTTTTTCTAAAGTTGCTCTTCTGAAGGTGGTGGAGAATGTTAGTAGTGCGGGTTAAAATGAAAAGTGTTCACTGCATTGTGCATAGTATTTAAAAACTAAAAGTTTCTAGCTGGTGTTGCTCAGTGGTTAAGCATCAGCACAGGCACAAAGATGTCCCCCATTCGATTTCTCATCAGAGCACATGCCTGGGTTGCGGGGTCCATTTCCAGCAGCAGCGTGAAGGAGGTAGTCCATCAATGATTCTTTCTCATTATTGATGATTCTCTCTCTCCCTTCCTCTGTGAAATCAATAAAAAATATTTTTAAAATCTTTAAAAATAAATATTTTTAACAGGTAAAAATTATTAAAACACTTTATATCAATACAAAGATTTATTTCCTAAATCAAAAAGGCACAAAATGAGTGAAAATTCTAACATTCATATTTGTTATTCAATTGTCTTTTTGTTAAAGAAAATTTCCAAAACTCATAAAACATTAGGCAGAACATATGATCAGAGGTTTTAAGAAAGATACAGACACAGCAAATATATATTGGAGAAAAGACTCACCATAAATTTCTAGAAAAAAGACAATCAAACAGTGAGGTAGCATGACAAACTTACAAAATAAAATTTTTAAGTAAATAATGATTGATCAAACAAAATATTCTCTAGGATGTGAAGAATGTGAATCCCTCACACACCACTGGCCAAATGCAAAAAATACAATCAGTTACGGTTTATTTTATTTTTTAAAAACAATCTTTATTACTTATTAGCATACCATAGAGCTCGGCTATTGGTTGAGTCACTCCATTCTTAGTGAGACATGCTCATAGACACTGATGATTTTTGATTTTAAACATATTTTCTAATTGATTTTGGAGAGGAAGGGAGAGGGAGAGAGAATCATTGATTGCACCTCCCACAGGCCCACTAGTTGAGATTCAGCCCCAAACCCAGACATGTGTCCTTGGCTGGAATCTAATCAGGGACCCTTTAGTTCAATGCCTGACACATACTCCCTGTTCAAAACCAGCTAGGGAAGTGTTTATTTTTTTTTTAAAGAATAGTTTATTAATTTTTGGAGAGAGAAGGGAGAGAGAGAAACATTGATGGAAGAGTGCCATATTGGCCAGTGATCTCCTGCACACCCACTTCTGTGGATCTAGCCCACAACACAGGCACATATCCCCACTGGCAATCAAATCCACAACCCTGTGCTACACGAGATAATGGACAAGTACTGACCCACACCGGCGCTAGTGGTATATTCCATTTAGATCACAATTTGCTAATCTCGGTAAATTTAAACAGTCATCTTCTCAAAAACCACAGACTATGCACTGAAATTTTGACAAAGGTAAATAACACTTATATACATACAAAAAATTATACAGAAATGTTTGTACCAGCTTTATGAGAAATAACCAAATATTTACTAAAATGGACAAACTGATGGTGATATATCAATGATAAGAATATCTCTCGGAAAAATGATCAGTTATTAGTGTAACTTTAATAAATCTCCAAGTATTTATGAAACATAAACTAATGCAGAAAAATACTTAGAAAAATAAAGTTCTCCGTGAAAATGAAATGTAAATCCATGGTTACTAGGAAAGCTGTGAACAGCTTAAAAGGGGGACAGATTAAGAGGTCATCATGCAATTACACAAAGACAGATATGGTCAGCTTTATGACTATAATGATGGTTTCAGTTTCATGCACATGTCAAGATTCATGAAACACTATACTTAACACATGTAATTTACTCACTATAGCTGTTAAAAATGGTTCAATGGTATTATGGAAGAAAAAGTTTGGCAACTCTATGTTCAGTCCCCGTACTTATGCCCTGTGGGTGAGAGTCTCAACTTAGTGACAGAAAATGTAATAAACAATAAAGAACTTTCCCCAAACCCACAAAAGCTACATTCCTGGTCTAAAGACAGCCATTGTCTCCATCTTTCTTTTGATGCCAGCGCACCAATGGCTCTGATGGGAACTTCTGAGAAGCTACAGGAGCAACAAAACATCTTGATTGTAATCAATGACAATGACTGCTTCACAGAAGATAAACAAGCCTGAAGTCCCTCAGATCTGTGTACACACAGCTCTTGTAGTTTTTTCCTAAAAATAATGCCGGATGCATAGTTAGGTGAGGACCATTCCATCTAAAGGGGTGCAGTCTCATCCAACCACAATTAGCTCAGTGTTTCTGTAGTGAAAGGGTTCCCCCTGAATGCAATGGTCCTCAAACCAGTGACCATCACCCATGATATTGTAGGCATTAGGGCACATGGCCGTCTGCAAGACCTGGGTAAGAGATTCACTTCACACGTATTGGCATCGCTTGCAAACAAGAAAAAAATTCATGTTTCCAGACACACTTGAGGTTGTCACAGCTACCCTCTCTTTGGAGTGATCTCTATGTGTCAAAGCATCCATATTCACGTGAGAAGTAGAGTGTCCACAATGTTTCCTAGAAAAATATGGGCAGTAGTGTAAATTTGCCAAAGACTGCTGAACTAATTTCTGAACCATACTGTTTCCCTATGGGCAAAAATGTTTGAGACCCCTAAAGTTATTCACCTCTTCATGCTTGGAAAGCCAAGATCTCTTTATCAACTAATCTATCGAGTAAATAGAACACCCCAGATTAAAGAAGTCTTAAGAAAAAGCCTATTATTTTACCGTCCATACAGACATAAGACTGGCAGTCCTTCCGTTGATGACTTAGCCACGCAATAAAGTCATCATTAGCATCTACAGAAAGTGTGTCCCTGAAAATGGCAGGCCCTCTGCAACATTATGTTTACTGCGGCCAACTGTAATGAGTCCTATTTGGCAACACAAGACAGGGAAAGAAGAAAGAACGAAGGACTCAGGTATTCCTCATTTCCATCAATAAATTAGAGTCTGACTTAGCATCCCTGTGCACGTGACGATGGTGACGCCATCTGTAGGGACCTTATAGGTGGTTCAGGTGAATTACCTTCAGCAACAGAAATATGCAGTGACACAGATCTGGTATTACATCCTGTATGTTAGAACGTGCAACATAATTACATAGTGTTCCAACATAAAAACACAGAAAAACAACAACAAAGACACTTATGTGAACTTTACATAATGTAGGTGATTAAATGTATGATACAATTCAGAAAAATGAGGACTCACAAATTTTCTTGTACTATTGGTAACTCCTAAGAAATTACATTTCCTATGCATCTAAGAAATGTCTCGCATTTGTACTCTTTTTTTTTTTTTAAAATGTGTTGTATTGATATTTTACAGAAGGGAAGGGAGAGGGATAGAAAGAGAGAGAAACATCAATGACAGGGAAACATTGACCAGCTGCCTCCTGCACACTCCCTACTGGGGCTGTGCCAGCAACCAAGGTACATGCCCTTGACCGGAATCAAACCTGGGACCTTTCAGTCCGCAGGCTGATGCTCTATCCACTGAGCCAAACCGGATAGGGCTCACATTTGTACTCTTATGCGGAGAGGGAATTTAGAAATTTGGCTGAGAGATACCTCACATTAATGGCATTCTTTATAGCTTTCTCCAGTGTGAACTCTCTGATGATACTGAAGACCACTACTGCTTTTAAAAGATTTCACACATTCAGTGCATTTATAAGGCTTTTCTCCCGTATGAACTCTCTGATGTCGATCAAGGATGCTTTTAGTGGTAAAAGATTTTCCACATTCACTGCATTGATAAGGCTTTTCTCCCGTATGAACTCTCTGATGTTTATGAAGGTCTGTGTTAGCAGAAAAAGATTTTCCACATTCATTGCACTGAAAAGGCTTTTCTCCAGTGTGAACTGTCTGATGATATTGGAGCCCTTTGCTACTTTTATATGATTTTCCACATTCACTGCATTTATAAGGCTTTTCTCCCGTATGAACTCTCTGATGTTGATCAAGGACGGATTTAGTGGTAAAAGAGTTTCCACATTCACTGCATTGATATGGCTTTTCTCCTGTATGAAGTCTCAGATGTCGATTAAGGTGGGTCTTAGTGGTAAAAGCTTTGCCACATTCACTGCATTGATAAGGTTTTCCTCCAGTGTGAACTCTCTGATGAAAACGAAGGGTAGTGCTCTGAGTAAAAGACTTCTTATATTCACTGCATTTATAAGGCTTTTCTCCCATATGAACTCTCTGATGTTGCTGAAGGATGTTCTTAGCGGTAAAAGATTTCCCACATTCATTGCATTTGTAATGCTTTTCTCCAGTGTGACCTCTCTGTTGATAATGAAAGCTAGAAAATTGGGTAAAATATTTTCCACATTCAGAGCGCACACAACACCCACTTCCAAGATGGAAATCTTTTTCCTGAATAAATGTTTGGCTGCAACTAATGTCTTTCTTACATTCTTTTCTGCTGAGATAGTTTTTTCTACTTTGAAACGTCATCCCACGCATCAAAATAGCAGTTGGACTGTCCCTGGTCTGAGAAGCCTGTAGGTGGAGATGTCCAGATTCAGTAAGGACACTCTGCCCAACCTCCCCACAGGTGAAATGATTCTGGGACACATTGAAATTGCAGCTGTTGGCAAGTGACATCCTTTCCAAACCTCTAATGTAAGTCTGTTCTCTCACATGCTGCTGGTGAAATGTTGCACACAACGAAAATGTTTTTGCACACGCTCCACACCTCAACAGTATCCGTCTGTGTTGTGTTCCCTGCAGCTCCATCACGCGGAAAATGTTTCCCAGGACTAGCCCACAATTCTCACAGGGGTGGCTCTTCTGGGAAGACAACGGTAACTTGGGATTCCTTGCCTGTGAAAATCTAATAGAAATCTTTTGTTCAGTCGTGGCCTCCACATTCTCTTCTCCACAGCAGCAACCTGAACAAAAGGAAATGTAGGTGAAGTGCACGTTGACCTGATAAAAACAGAATATCTTCAACACAGATGTTTATCTGTAGTGGCTGAACACGATTTCTTTTCTTTTCTTTTTTTTAATATATTTTATTGAGTTTTTACAAAGAGGAAGGGAGAGGGATAGTCAGAAACATGAGAGAGAAACATCGACCAGCCTCTTCCTGCACACACCCCCACTGGGGATGTGCCTGCAACCAAGGTACATACCCTTGACCGGAATCGAACCTGGGACGTTTCAGTCCACAGGCCAACGCTCTATCCACTGAGCCCAACCGGTTAGGGCCTGGACATGATTTCATACAATGATTTTCAAGACGACCCCGTCAGACTCTCAGGAAATGGCTGTTATATATATACAACATGACTCAAAAGGTCACTGAATGAAGAAAATCTCACCAAGGGAGGACGGAAGCATAGGCTGGCACAAAAAGAAGAGAGGCAGTGTCTGCCCGTTATTACTCCACAAATGGCTTCCTTTAAGACCTTTCATGCTGGCAATGTGAGTCTGTGTAGAATAATTCCAATGTGTTCAAAACCATAAATGATCAATCATAGTAGAGCATGTGATGTTCAGCATCAATGTAATAATTCATGTGTACTGTAAGGCCTGCAGGCAAGGAACAATATTGGAGTGCAGTAAAGCGAGATGTTTGAAAGAGTTAGAAGTGCAAAGTTTAGAGGTCAAGGTTATCCACAGGCTGGGAATCCCAATAGAATGATCACTATTAAAACTGAAAAGTGCCGAACCGGTTTGGCTCAGTGGATAGAGCATTGGCCTGCGGACTGAAGGGTCCCAGGTTCGATTCCGGTCAAAGGCATGTACCTTGGTTGCGGGTACATCCACAGTAGGGGGCGTGCAGGAGGCAGCTGATCGATATCTCTCATCCATGTTACTAACTCTCTATCCCTCTCCCTTCTTCTCTGTAAAAAATCAATAAAATATATATTAAAAAATAAAAAATAAAAACCTGAAAAGTGTCAACATTAAGCAAGAAGTAGAATTGGGTGAGGAGTGGGCAATGGTAACAAAACATTGTTGAACAAAATGGGTTCCTAGTTATGAATGTAACAAAGCCCAGGCATGAAAACTCCCCCCACAGTCCTTCACCAAGGCAAGACTGCCTCTGGGTATAGCCCAGGGGCGGGCAAACTTTTTGACTCCAGGGCCACAATGGGTCCTTAAACTGGACCAGAGGGCCGGAACAAAAGCATGGATGGAGTGTTTGTGTGAACTAATATAAATTTAAAATAAACATCATTACATAAAAGAGTACGGTCTTCTTTTTTTTTTAGTTTTATTCATTTCAAACAGGCCAGATCCGGCCCACGGGCCGTAGTTTGCCCACGGCTGGTCTAGCCTGTCACTGATAAAGTCATGTTTCTCCTGTGATATACAAAGGATTCTGCCTCTTAAATCCCTGTTGAGCCACTGCAGGGGGATAAATGATGCAAATCTTAGAAGAAAAACTAAAAAGATGGATTGTCAGCACTGTGGTAGAACAACAAAGGACAAATGAGAAGACGGGCAAAAGGCCTAGGAGAGGGACATCAGCAAGATGGCAGAATCAGAGATAGAGAAACTTTCCCCATTCAAGAGTAAGTAGACAGCTACTTATGAGAAAAACATCCCACAAGAAATGGTAATAAGAGTATCATGAAGATACACAGTAATACAGAATACCAAATAAGGACAACTGCATAGAAAGGATGACAGGAAACTGAGTGAGCAAACACATTTCAAGATACCTAAGGTCAACAATAAAGGTTAATAATAATTAACTAACTAACTGACTAAGTAAGTAAATAAATAAATACAGCAAGGGTCAGCCCCAGCTGGCTGACTCAGTGGATAGAGTGTAAGCCTGGTGACTGAAAAGTCCTAGGTTCCATTCCAGTCAAGGGCACAGGTCCAGTTTGTTGTGGGTTCAGTCCCAGTAAGGGGGCATGCAGGAGACAACTGACCAGTGATACTCTCTTATCATTAATGTTTCTCTCTCTCTCTCTGTCTCTCTCTCTCTGTCTCCCAACCTCTGAGAAATCAATAAAAATGTATTAAAACAAAAGGGTTAACCCTAGCTGGTTTCGCTCAGTGGATAGAGCATCAGCTTTTAGACTGAAGGGTCCCAGGTTCCATTCCGGGAAAGGGCATATGACAAGGTTGGGGGCTTGGTCCCTGCTGGTGGGCGTGCAGGAGGCAGCCAATCAATGATTCTCTTTCATCATTGATGTTTCTATCTCTCGCTCCCTCTCTCTCCCTTCTGAAATCAATAAGAATATATTTAAATAAATAAATAAGAATAAAGGGTTAGCGTTACCACTATCAGCCACTGTGCTTCTATTCTCATTGATCCTAGTGGCCTGTTCTCTAAAAGCCTGGACATTTAAAAACAAAAAACAAAAAACACAGAATGCCCTGGCCAATGTGGCTCAGTTGGTTGGAGCATCCTCTAGTGTATCGAAGGCTGGAGGGTTCGATTCTCAGTTAGGGCACATTTCAGAATGAGGCTTTCATATCCGGTTTACATGTGTGCAGAAGGGAGCTGATTGATGTTTCTTCCCCACCCCTCTCTCTCTCTCTTTCTCCATTTCTCTTCCTCTCTATGTAAAAGGAATCTAATTATATAAACAGCTAGGGGTTCTGACGGCCTAAATGACCAAACTGACAACCGAACACCGGAACTCAATCCTGAAGTAAGTGCTGGGTCGATGACCCAGCACTGACTGCCGAGGCTGGTGGTCCTGGAGGGCCAGTCAGGAATCACAGGTGGGAGTCAGTCCCAGGACATGTAAGTGGAAACCAAAAGATATAGAAACAAGGAAGACCTATCCCTCCAACTGGGGAGATATTGGCAGAAGAATAGTAGGGAGCCAGAACTCCCACCATCTCATAACAAAATGATTACCCATCTCCCTCCCCCTTCACCCCTCCGCCAACACACACACCTACAAACCTTGGGCCAAGTGGGGAACCTCGACTTCTACTCTCTTCTTGAAATAATGAAATGGCATTTCACCCTGCCATTACCAGAGCAATAACAAAGCAAGTCAGATAAAACGGGCTTGACAAGATCCAGAGATTCATAATACTTAAAATTTCTAAGTTTCAATTATGAAATTATTCATACAAAGAAGCAGAAAGATCTAAAACTGAATAAAAGAGATAATAGAAACTAACACTATTAGTGATGATAGAGTTATTTGATAATAAGTTTAACACAGCCATCAAAACAATCTTTACATGAGTGATTTTGAACATCATTAAATGGGAAAAAAAGCAAGTTATGGCAAGTAAATAAAAGTCTCAGCAAAGAAAATGAAGCTATAAAGAAAAACCAGATGAAAACTATAGTACAGAAGACTATTATAACTGAAATAAATAACTCAGTGAATAGGCTCAAAACAGAATGGATGGAACAGAGGAAACACTCAGGGAACTAGAAAATTTAACAATAAAAATATCCTATGAGAATAGAGAGAAAATGGGCTTGAAAACAGCAACAGAAAAAGATCAGAACCACAGGAACCAGTGGAGTCATAACAACAACAACAACAACAAATCACCACAAAATAAAACTGTAACATTTGGTGTCCAGGAAGAAATGAAAGAAGATGCAGCTGAAAGAGTACTTGAAGAAATAATGGCTGAAAACTCTTCCAATTGGTCCAAAGACAGAAATCCTCAATTTTAAGAAGGTCAGCAAATACAAAATGAGATAAACCCAAAGATAGCAACACTCACATCATAGTTAAATTTATGAAAAATAAAAACAAAGAAAAAAATCTTAAAAGTTCTGAATGACAAATAGCACTTCATCTATAAGGAAAAAGTAATTCTCATGACAACAGGTTTTCCATTAGAAACCATAAAGTTTAAAATAAAGGAACTGTCAACAGAGTCCTATTTCCAGAGAAAATATCCTTCAGCAATATGGGGAAAATCAAGGCTCCTCAGAAAAGAGAACACAAATGTAAACAAGAATTGATAAAGGATAATATCCAAATCTCAAAAAATATATGAAATATATTCAATATCATATATGCAGGTAAACTCAAATTTATTCCTCCATGACTTACTTACCAGGATAGCTAAAATTAAATAGGTTTATAATACTAATTACTGGGAAGTATATGCAGGATCTGGAACTCTCATTCACTACTGGTGGTTGTATCACTTGGATAAAAGGATGTGCAAAACTGTACCTACTAAAATTAAACATATGCGTACATCATGAGTCGTTAAATTTACTGCTCTTATTATATCCAAAAGACATGAGCATATAGATCCTCAAAATCATATGTGAAAGGATGTTTAGCGTAGCTTTATTCATAATATTTTCAAATTAGAAATAACTTACAAATCTGCCTACAGGAAAATGGAAGAATGGTAGTAAATATCAATAGTAGAATACTACACAGCGATAAAAGAATAGTAAAATCATGCTAGGAAGAATAATAGGGGTTAATTTCATAGATATTAAAAGAGCAAAAGAAATGAGACACAAATAAGAATACATCATATAAAACCACTGATATGAATTTCATGAGCTGATGGTACTATCAATGATTATAAAGGTCAGAAAATTAAGAAATTCTGAGGGTCGTCATCAGAAAGGGGGATGAAAGAAACTTCTAAAATCTTGAAAAAGATTCTACATCTTATATTGGGTGTTACATATGTAAACAGGTTTGATCTCTACATTTATGTTTCATGCACAGGTGGAGTTAAATGTAAGTGTTTTCTAGCACTGAAAGTTGCTTCTTATTTGAGCTTGGGTTCCTCAATTTTTAGAGTCCATGCTAATCTCCATTATGTCATATTACACTCTGAAGCTAAACAGTGCCATCAAGATGTAATTCTTCCCTGACTGGTAGGCTCAGTGGATGGAGCATCGGCCTATGGTCTGGGGCGTTCCGGGTTTGATTCCATTCAAGGGCATGTACCTTGGTTGCGGGCACTTCCCCAGTGGGGGATGTGTGGGAGGCGGCTGATCGATGTTTCTCTCTCATGGATGTTTCTAACTCTCTATCCCTTCCTCTCTGTGGAAAATCAATAAAAAAATTTTTTTTAAAAAAGATTCAATTCTACCACTCAGTAACTCTGAAAAATGAAAGAGGATTCATCCTGATTAAGAACTCTGAAGAAATCATACTAACAATTCAACATAATTCACCAAATGTTCTGCATCAAATATCACCTCAAATGGAGTACCATTTATGATTCCATAATTGGAATTTATGAGGAAGTAAAACAGAAGGTCTTTTGTTATTCTCATAGTTTCCGGACTCAGTAGTAATACTGATAAACTATTGAAAAAGTTGGTGTTTCCTTTTTCTACAAATATTTGAATTGTTTGGGTAATTCCAAAAGACTGTACATTTTTAGCCTAAACACACTTTAATATCTTTTTATTGTTGATTTTAGAGAGGAAGGAAGAGGGAGAAAAAGATAGAAATATCAACGATGCGAGAGAATCACTGATCGGCTTCCTCCATTGGAAAATACCCCACACTGGGGATCTAGCCTGCAACTCGGGCATGTGCCCTGACCAGGAATCCAACTGTGACTTCTTGGTTCATAGGTTGATGCTCAACCACTGAGAAACACCAGCCAGGCAGCCTAAACATACTTTAAAAAGTGACTGTCATATATTGGGAAATGACATATTAAAGTAATATGTAATCTATACTAATAAAAGAGTAATAGCCTAATTAGACCAGGAGACTGGCCATCTTCAGGTCAAAGGCCACAGTGGTGGGGGTCGAGGAAGAGATGGTTAGGGGTTATCCGAATGGCAGGCCAGGGCAGTTGGGGGCCATGAGGCCAGCAGGGGAGGCCAGTTGGGGGCCATCAGGCTGGCAAGGGAGCACTTAAGCAGCAGTCAAGATGGTAAGCAGACAAGCAGTTAGGAGCCAGTGGTCCCGGATTGCGAGAGGGATGTCCGACTGGGCCTAAACCGGCAGTCGGATATCCCCAAGAGGTCCGGACTGGAGATTAGAGAGGGTGCTAGCCGGACCGAGGACACCGTCCCTGCCCCCTCTCTCCCCAAAATTTCATGCAACTGGCCTCTAGAAATAATAAATAAATAAAAAATAAATAAGAATTTCAGGGTAGCCAAAAACAGAAGTGATCTGGAGACAAAGTAAATAACAAAACAACCTACCAAAGCTTCTGTATATCATTCAGAAAATGGAACTCTAAGGAGAAATTTTATAGAGATAAATGCCTACATTGTCATAAAAGATCTCAAAGAACCTAACATAGCACCTCAGGAAAGTAGAAACACAATAGGAAAGTAAACCCAAAGGTCTCAAAGGAAAAATACCATAAATATTAGAACCAACATAAACAAAAGGGATTTAAGACAAAAGAAAGGAATACCTAAAAAATAAAAATATATAAAAATGTGCAAGCGTTTAGCTACACTAAAGCAAAAACAACCAACCAAAACCAACCAAAAACCAAGCCTCAAATAAGTTAAAAAATACATGCAAGAGCCCTAACTGGTGTTTTGGCTCAGTTGATAGAGTGTCGGCCTGGGGACTAAACAGTCCCAGATTTGATTCCAGTCAAGGGCACGTACCTTGGTTGTGGGCTCATCCCCAGTAGGGGATGTGCAGGAGGCACCTGATTGATTTTTCTCTCTCATCAACGTTTCTAACTTTCTATCCCTCCTCCTTCCTCTCTGTAAAATATCAATAAGATATATAGTTTTAAAAAAGACATGAAAGCCCTAACCGGTTTGGCTCAGTGGATAGAGCATCAGCCTGAGGACTCAAGAGTCCCAGGTTCAATTCCAGTCAAGGGCATGTACCTTGCTGTGGGCACATCCCCAGTAGGGGGTGTGCAGGAGGCAGCTGATTGATGTTTCTCTCTCATCCATGTTTCCCTCCCTTCCTCTCTCCCTTCCTCTCTGTAAAAAATCAATAAAATATATTAAAATAAAAAGACACATTACACCAGTCACTATGAGTCACAATGCATCATTAGAGATGTTGATGTTACCACATGACATGACGCTCCATAGAGAAATTTGTCAAAAATCTCACTATGAGTTTCTGAAATTAATAAACAAATTCAGAATCCTGTCCAGGTAGCTCAGTTGTTGACTGTGTGGTCCTGATGCACCAAGGTTGTGGATTTGGTCCCCTATTAGGTCACATGTAGGGGACAACCAATGAATGCACAGATGGGTAGAACAGCTGATCTGTGTTTCCCTCCCTTTCTCTGTCTCCTTACTGTCTCTAAAATCAATAAGTAAATGCTGCCTGATATGTCTCACTGATTGAGCATTGCCTCATGAACTAGATGATCACAATTCGATTCTTTGTTAGGACACCTGCACTGGTTGCAAGCTCAATCAACAGTGGGGGGTCGTGCAGGAGGCAGCTGATCAATGACTCTCTCCCTCTCATCACTGTTGCTTTTATCTCTCTCTCCTCTTCCTCAAGGAAATAATAAATACATATATTTAGATAAATAAATAAATAAATAAATACAAGAATAAATAAATACCCCTAGCCACTGTGCTTCACTGATGAGACTGCTAGCTTGTGCACTGGAGGGCTAGGGTTCGATTCCCAGTCAAATACAGGTACCTGGGTTGCAGGTCCACTCCCCTTTCTCAGTAGGGGCTCATATGGGAGGCAGACAATTGATATTTCTCTCTTTCTCTCTCTATTTCTCTCTCTCTCTCTGTCTCCCACTCTCTCTGTAAAAAAACATTCAATGAAAAAAATATCATCTCTATTTTGGTGAAGCTAATACAAGAATAAAGAATTAAATTCAGCCCTGACCTCTTTAGCTCAGTGGATAGAGCCTCGGCCTGCGGACTCAAGGGCCCCAGATTCGATTCTGGTCGGGGACATGTACATTGGTTGCGGGCACATCCCCAGTGGGGTGTGTGCAGGAGGCAGCTGATCAATGTTTCTCTCTCATCGATGTTTCTGGCTCTCTATCTCTCTCCCTTCCTCTCTGTAAAAAATCAATAAAATATATTTAAAAATATTTCTAGGTTGCAATTATCAAATTATTCATACAAAGAAGCAGAAAGATCTAAAACGGAAAAACAATATTTAACTGCTAAGCACTAGTAACAAGCATCTGAGCTTGCCAGAAACATAGTGGCAGTAGACCTGCTGAACGCAGGGTTGCGAAGAACATGGAATTTCTCACCCTAACCAGTTCGGCTCAGTGGATAGAGCCTCAGCCTACGGACTCAAGGGTCCCAGGTTGGATTCCCGTCAAGGGCATGTACCTTGGTTGCAGGCACATCCCCAGTAGGGAGGGTGCAGGAGGCAGCTGATCGATGTTTCTCTCTCATCGATGTTTCTAACTCTCTATCCCTCTCCCTTCCTCTCTGTAAAATATCAATAAAATATATTAAAATAAAAAACAAACAAACAAAAATCATGGACTTTCTGGAAAAACAGGTGTGGGGGAGTAATATCTGCAAAGCACAATTAAGCACATACAAAAATATGTGTTCCTGTATGTTGTAAGCAATTAATATATAAAATATACAAGGTATTCCAAATATTCTTTAATGAAAAAAAATATAGTTAACAAACTGGATAAGCATGTAATACAACTTTTCAAAATATATTTACACATGACCAATAGGAATACAGAAAATGTTTTCCTCACTAATCAAGGTGGAATTCCTTAGCTGCCAACAACACTACCAACCACAAGTCCTTCCCTGTGAATTTAGTGCAGCGGGGAGTATTGGGACTTCAGGAATAGAAGGGAGCAGCAGAAACAGACCAACCCTCCCCAGGACAGCAACTACCCAGATAACTGGAAAAACAAGCAGTACCACAGTCTACCTGGGGGGACAGAGCACACCCTGGGGGATGGGGCCTGGGAAATGGCAAAGCCAAGTCCAGGTCAATGGTGATAGTGAGGGTCTTACCCAGCGAGGATATTAGTTCAAAGTTCTCCAGCATCACATTCAGGTACAGCTGTCTCTGACCCTCATCTAAGAGGCTCCATTCCTTCCTGGAGAAGTACAGGGCAATGTCCTCAAAGGTCACGCCAACCTGTCAGAATTAAGACAATTGAAACCAGACCTGCCTTTCTGAGAACCAGTAATCCTACTCCTTACACACCTTCCCCCCCTCAACCTCCTCCAGGGCACCCGGTTAGTGTGGACACCAGGCCCTAATGCCAGTGCAGGCTGCTCTCTCATCACAGTCCCATTACTCACTGCATGGCCCTCAGCAGAGCAGCTGGGTTGGGTGGGAAGGATTGGGGGAGGGGAGGGGAGAGGGCAATGCCATTTAAGGTCTGGCCAAGTCTGCAGGGCCCCAGCCTTCCTGCCAGCAACACCACTGCAGTCTCCTAGATCCTGCCGCCAAGACAAAGCCAAGCGTCGGTTTATGCTTCACCTTTAGGTCCCCACACCAGATCCCGGGACCATCAGCTCACACTTCCTCCAGATGTGCACACCACTGGGTATGTTTATCCCCTTCCCATGTTCAGATCCCAGGTTCACTCCCTCAGCTCTGCCCCCTTCCTGCTCCAATGACACTGGATCTCGCTGGACTCACCCATGAACTTGGCATATGGCGTGTAGAGAGCTTGTAGTCCAGCCGGATCCAGGAACACCCCAGGCCCCTGATGGACCCACAGCCGGGAAAGCCCCGAATGAGGCTGTGCCCTCCTCCCTGCAGCCTCTGATCTTTCAGTCAATACTCACAGCCACATCCTCAGGGACCTTCAGATGCAAGTCACCCCCGTCCTCTCTGCCCTGCACCTGCTGTGTCCTCAGAAGCCACAACACTCCTCTCTCCCCTCCACCTTCCTCACGGTCCTCCACGCGGGACTGAGCTGCAGGACGGGACAGGCACCTGCACCCGGGCTGTCCTGTCGGTATAAGTAGCGATGAGGGGAGGACCCGCGGGACACACTCACCTCAGCCCGTCTCCTCAGCACCGGCGCCTCCATGGCACTCGGTAGTCGGAGCGGGGCGGGAGCAGAAGCCGCTGCAGGAATGGCGGTCCCTGTCCCGGCCCTGGGCGGGTCTGGTGGCGACTCCGAGCTTCAATCCCACCTGTGCGTTGTGAGCACCACTGGAGGCTCCGACCATTGGCTGTGAGGCGGGAAAAGCACTCTCTAGCCTTCTCCCCGGGACTCTGCAAACAAGTACCGCCGACCGCTTAAGACAAAATGGAGAAAAAACTACGGGTCCGGTACACCAGAACTTGAAAAACGGAAACGCCTTTTCTGAGCTCCCATTGGCTCAGCCTGGTGGCATTCCACGCCCGGCCTTCTGGGTAATGTAGTTCCTACGCTCCGTGGCCAGGCTCCTGTAGTTCCTCAGCAGACTACAGGACTGGTTTTAACGGGCAAATAGCCCAAGAACACAGGGTATACTCAGGGCCCTCCAGCGCATTCAGGGGAGGGGATTTCTAGAACAGGTTTGTTTCTGTGGGACCTGCCTGGCTTCCTTTAGCTGCTGGTTTTGCATATCTTTCTTCAGAATCTGCTCTTTTCTGAATGACAGGCAATGTGTGTTCTTTCAGGGCATTAGGCTTCTGTCCCCTCCAGGCTTAATGTAGCTTGCAGAGGTTGCTTAAGTGTCTAAAGCACCTATCCTCCCTCCATTGTACAAAGTTAATGTCTCAAAACAGACATCACTATTTAAGAGCATCTGCTTCTGGGGCCAAAGTGGCAGCTCTGCCAGGACTGCAGTGTGGATAAGATGGCCAAGAGACATTTGAAAAAATGCTCAAAGTCACTGATTCTCAGAGAGATGCAAATTAAAGCAACAATTAGATCCTACCTCACAACTGTCAGGAAGACTACCATCAACAAAAGACAAGTGCTGGCGAGGATATGGAAAAAAGGGAACCCTAGTACACTGCTGATAAAAATGCAGACTGGGACAGCTCCTCTTATCTACACAACTTCAGCTCAGCCCACGGCCCCTCCATTGGTTGTCCCATAGTACCAGGCACTACTGAAAAGCAGAAGCCACCATTTCTTCCTTGCCCTGAATTGACTAGCAATACTTGGCCTTTTACTCTCTTGGAAAGTAAAATAAATTTCCTCTTTGCATTACTTCTTTTAGTTGTGAATTCTTTCACAGGCTGTATCACCACCCAAAACTTAACAGTATTCCTTTATTTTGTGGAGTTAAGGGAATTATTGTGAAAGAAGATGAAGGAAATGACATTGTAGAGGCATCATAATTTTCCCTTCTTTTCTAGCTTCTTTGGTTAGTCTAAGAATTAAATGGGTATTACATAGATTAACAGGGGAAAACAATAAAAAAGTTATTAACATGTATACCTACTGTATACATCAAGCATGTCACACTTGCGGTCCCTGGGCTGCAGGAAGCCCACAAGGAATATTCATTAACGATGACTCATTTATTTCAGGCCTTCGTATTCAGCATGTCTCTATCAAAATAAACCTACATTTCTATGAAAATTGAAGCTTTTATTTTTTTGCGGCCCACATAAACTTAAACCTTGTTTATATGGCCCATATTAGCCTTTGAGTTTACATATTGGTATACATGGAAACGACGAAAAAAAACAGATTAACTGGCCAAAACGGCAAAAACCATCATCTGAAAAGCCACCTTCACCTACAATAAAAAATTGTGTGTGGAGAGTCAGTTAGGATGGATTGTCAAGAAAAGCACAGTATGAACCTCAGTTGTGGCCCAGTGTGCTGTGCCTGTGGTGAGGGCTGGTATTCAAAAGGTCTCTGTTCCAACCAAAAGACTCATGGTGCAGACAGAGGAGACAGGGAAGGAGAACAGGAATCCAAAACATGACCCAGGCTGCAGGGAACACATGGTGAGAGCCATTGTCTCATTCTGCCAGTAGGGATATAGAGGACAGAATCACATGGCAGTGGGTCCTATGCATGAATAAGAGGTAAGCACCCGTCCAATGAGACCTGGATCATGTAGGCCTCCAGCATCTCTTCCAATATTACGTCCCAAAATTCACGTCAAAGTGTATCCTCTCCTCAAGGGTGTCAGTGTTGCATATGAAGATCATTTGAAGAGGCAAGAAATTCATCACAGTGAATGGGGTCACAGCATGACAACCAACATGTGGGCAAAGGTGCAGAGACAAAGCGCTAATAACCGAGGTCTCCTGAGGGTCATAGTCTGTGCTGAGATCAAAGGGAAGGCAGATAAATTGCAGCTCACTCTTTAAAAAGGTTCCCCTGGAGAAACCACTGCAGCAGAGAAGTGATAGCCTCCCCCTGAACACGGAGGAGGGGGGGGGGAGGGGGTAAGTGGTCTGAGATGTAAAGGCATTGGGAGGAAAAGCATAACTGCAACCATGGAAACAGGAGCTGCAGCTGAGCCACCCTTGTCCTCAGACTGTACCTGCTCCAGTGAGGGCTGCACATCAGTGGTAGAGACTTTGTCTGACGCTGGAGAAAACAATGGTTAATATCCAGCCCCTTGAATCTGACACTTGTCTGTGGTGTAAACTTGGGGAGCTGACTTCATTTCTGAAAAAGACACTGAACTTTTTCAGCAATTTGATATGGGATGCACCACAATGAGACCTGAGTGGCACAGCACCTGCCTCCCTGCAGCACAGTTGGTGGCTTCATATAGGTCCCATTTCTCACTAAAATGCACCCAAAGACAAAGGTGCTTGCGGGCATCGGGGGAGTGAGAAGTGCCTGCCTGGGAATGTCTCTGCAGGGAGTGGCTGGAGTTGCTGAGGCCAAGGCAGACTGCAGGCACAGCTGCCTTACACAAATAGACACCTTACCACTGGACCTTCTTCAATAGCTCTGGCATGGACATACCTCATACTTGTTTTTCACAGTATGTGCCCACCCATGTGCCCTGAGTGGCAATGGAACTGTGACCTCCTGGTTCATGGGTCGACTGAGCACCCTTGCTGGCCTCTCATCATGTCTGTCTCTCTCTCTCTCTCTCTCTCTCTCTCTCTTTCTCCCTTGCTCTGTGAAATCAATGAAAATGTTAAAATGAATTAAGTATATTTATTAATTTAGTAAAATAAAATGTTTTTAAATATATTTTTATTGATTTCAGAGAGGAAGGGAGAGGTAGAGAGAGAGAGAAACATCAATGATGAGAATGATTGGCTGCCTCCTGTAGTCCCCACACTGGTGATTGAGCCCGCAACCTGGGCACCTTCCCTTGACTGGAAGCTCACCCAGGACCTTTCAGTCTGAAGGCTGATGCTCTATTCACTGAGCCAAACCAGCTAGGGCAATTAAAATATTTTTTTAATGAAAAAAATATTAAAACATATTATTTCAATACAAAAAAAATGTTTATTCCTAAAGTAAAAAAGGCACAAAATGAGTGAAATTCCAACATCCATCTTTGTTGTTCCACAGTCCTATTGTTAAAGAAAACTGCCAAAACTCATAGCATATTAGGCAG